AACCCTAATCCAGCACTCCTGAACGAGCTGATGAAGGTCTTCGGGATCACTGGAAAGCAACAGGCAGGTGAGTTTGATCAAGGTTGGAGCTGAACTCAGCGGGCCAGAGTTGAGAAGCTCGGCTTTAAGGAAACTTCTTTGTTTGTTGTGTAAATACGATTCATTTTGTGGTTGTTGTTGGTCTTTGTCTGCTTACACTGCTTTTCCTCCACAGGATCTGGATGAAGGAGATTTCTCGCATCACTTCTGAAGATCGTTGTGGACAGCAAGGCTGCGGATGATTGTCATTGAGGGAACAGAAGCACTTACCGGGGTTTCTGAAGTACCTAAAGCTTCGGCCTTCCTCATGGGTCTTTTATACGCGTTAAATCTGCGCTATCCTAAGCAACTGAAGTACACCTTCAAAGTTTTTCAAAAGCTCTTTTCGGCGCTGGCTTTTGGGAATCTCTCACACCTTGAAGGGTAAATTGCTTGTTTAAAACACTCAGGTTTTGTTCCAAATGAGTCTCCGTTGTTTTACAGAATTCAGAACTGTTCACCGGCTTTGAATGTTCAGGTTGAATGTGCCTTCCTTATGTGACTCGTTTACTCCTAAAAGCTGAGATTTTGTAAAGAACTGAAACATTCCTGTGTTTTCAGAAGGTTGTCTTTGAGCTGGATGTTGGGAATCTGTCTTCAAAGGTGTACACTTAAATGGTTATTTGAAAGAGCTTTGAGTAGCAGTATTGTGCATTCTAAAACATGCACATTAATTTCAGCGTGAATCCTGTAACAGAAGGGAGTAGGAAACAGAGAAAGAGCTACAGATGGTTAGCGATACTGATGAAGCAGTGTCTGATTGACATTTGGGGCTTTAACATTGTGTAAAACACAATAGAGTTTTCCTGACGTCAACTACTGTTCTCAATTCATTCTACTAATGCACTTGTAAAACCTGTAACAGTTTTGATTAAGTGAATAAATGCTTTGTTTGAGACTGTTGTTCATTGTTTAATGACACTTTTGTAGAAAGATACAGTAACATTAACCACTAGATGCCGGTTTAATAAATATGCAGAGTATGCAGCTCTAGTCTAGTTTCTGAAATGAGTATTGCTGGTCATAATTGATTACTCATTTTTTTAGGTTTTGCATTTGAATATATATTTAGACATTATCAGATACTCAATATTGGTAAGTTTAGATTAGTTAAAATGCTCAATTTAATTGCTCACATACTATTGTTATTTTATGATCACATACGCAACAAGTGAATATTAATGAATGCAAGCAAATATGGAATTCAACCCAAGAAAACAGCTTAATAAAACAAGGCAACCAATAGCATTGGGTGAAACTCTTTATGATATAATACATCCACTGAGGCGCTGGGTAAGTTATTCCTAATGGACAGGCTTCACAGAAACTCATTCGACCTCCTACAGGGAGAGAAAGTTTGCAGAAAGACTAAAAACTTGAATATGACAACAATCTGCTTATGGTTGCTATTAAAGTGTTGCTCACGTTATCTAACTGCAATTAGTGTAACTATCTATTATCTAAAAACGTTAACTATAAGACACTTTATAAAATACCACTACTAGTTAGATTCTTGAGAGGGTAACAAATGCGTTAAAATGTCAAAAAATGATGTGATTTCCTCAGTTCACCAGCGAGTGTGCTTGAAGCACTGAAATGAATGGGCTTCAGTGCTGGAACTATAGGCTTCTCCAAGCCTACGGGAGTGTCGCAGCTCTGGTATTCAATCATAACATTCATTTTTGAGTTTACCGCTAAAGTCGTTCCGGTAGATTTACGGCAAATAAAATGAAAGGGGCTAATGTCACAGGTCAGAGCTGATGGGCCAAAGATGATGCTTTCAGTTTGATCATCATTTAGCTGTAAAAAATTCATGTCCATCCAGCATATTTTGTCATGTGGACAATCAAACAAACTGGACACAGAACATTTAGAACAGGAAGATGAAGCCGAGTGTACTACGCTGCCAGGGTCACTATAAAGTGCTTTTGGTATCCTCATCAGAATCACTTGGTCATCATGAACATAATACAATATAATGACATTCTGAAATTATATGATAAATGTCCAAACATTTGCACACATACAGTCTCTTGAAATGTATTTTTCTCATTTTATACCATTTTCTTTGATTGGATGTGTGTGATTTTGGCATGGCCCTCACGCAGCTCAGCTAACTTCAATGAGTGTAAAAAGAGGTTAAATAACACAATATTGAAATCATTTTTAAATATTCTTATTGCCCTCAACCAGTTGTTAATAAAACAAGTTAGATTGTTCATTTATATTGTATTTTCACAATAATATTAAGCATTTTGCACGTGTCCCTGAAACTGCTGTCCACCCTGTCATGTTGTAAATGCCCGTTTAAGAAGCCCTCTGATCTACTCAGAGAAATCTCCAGCCCATTTGGCCCTTCTTCAGTGGAGGTTAAAACATCTGCTGCAAGCACACACAGTATCTACACTTATATTTCCTCATTTTCATCATACTGTGTTTGTAGTTGCATGTTGCCAAGCTTAACATGTCCACCCTGTCATAGTAAAATATTAATTTACATAAAAGTTTTTCAGAAATTCTAAATATGTATTTTAAGTAGTACACATTCAGCTTCAACAATGAACCACTGTGCTGACTGAAGGTACACCATGTGTTTATTAAATGCTAACATTAACCAAAAATGTCCACCCTGTCACCAAGCCTTCCATGACAGGGTGGACATGGTACACGACAGGGGGGACATGTGCATGGTTTTTGCCAAATTCTGATAATGTTTTAACAAAGGCTATTGATTTAACATGTTAAGTTGGTGTGATTAATTATGGGGAAAAAAAGGTCAAATTGATAAATGCATTTAATGCACCCCAGCCCAGAACTGTATGCCATCTTACACTGCATGCAGTTGCTTAGTGCTGAACATGATGTTAGGCAACGCCTCACTGTGATGTAGCCTATTAGAATGCAGTTAGAACGTGCCTAACATTCAAGATAAGTGGACAAACAATGCCCAAAGCAAAAGTGCCATTTTCCTGAATATCTGCTCGATTGCAAATGTGATATTGACTTTATACACAGTTAAAAAATAAACAAAAAAATAAATAAATAAATAATATTTACATTTTAAACACAACACTATCAATATTGTCCGTTTTTGTTCTATTTCTCCAAAGAAAATAGTTCCAAAGAATCCACCTTGTGCATCTCTGAGCAACACAAAGCGGTGTTTCGTTACTGAATGAAGCCGTGTTTTTAACAAATCTAGTGAGTGGCTTTAGTTGCATATTTAGAGTATCATTTCATTTTGTATTACTTTCAAAATGTAATATTACATTTTTTATATTGCCATTTTAAACCAATTAATCTCATAGCATTATTTATGTATTTCTAAGTGCAGTGTATACAGTTTGTGGAAATATATATATATATATATATATAATGATTTCATTTGATTTAGGAACAGCCCCATAGTGTCTTACTATTCTAATTGAAAATATTTAATGTAAGAAATTGACAAAATAGCATGCATACATCTAATAAGGTAAGAGAAATGGCCTTATAAATGTAAAAGTGCCCTTTTAAATCAATTTACATTTTACAATTGCAGTGTAGAATATATATTTCTGAAATCATTCTGTACATTACTTAAGGGTTTCTTGTTGTTGCTGTTGTTTATCTGATGTCATCTTTTATGAAAATAAACAAATGATTTAAACAAGGTAGCAAAACCTTTAGTGTGATTTCTTTATGGGGGCCAGTTAGTATTCGTTGAAGGTTTGACCAGATATCTTTGTCGTTTGCTGTTATTTAGAAAAGAAAGTGCAACTTTCTCATATTTTATAGAGATACAAATATGTTGCAGTAATTTCAGTTTTTCAAAAGACTTTTCCCACTGAGTGATCTTTCTGAAATCTGAGTGATCTTTCTGAAATCTACATTTAATAATCATTATGTAATGCAAATGTAAATACTCTACTTTGAAATTCTTCATGACAGGGTGGACCTATGTTGTGGTTTACTCGAAAATGGTCTGCTTGCAGTTATTTTATAAAAATATATGCATTTGCATTTCTAACAGCCTACAGTCTCCTTAATACAACAAATATGAAGTTTAATAGAACATCTCATATTTTTGTTTAGGAAATTGTGAAGTCTCAAAGGCACTTGATAGTGATGTTGACCCGCCACACACTTAAAGAGAGTACACAGTACACACTTAGGGTACAGTACACACTTAGGGCACAGTACACACTTAGGGTACAGTACACACTTAGGGCACAGTACACACTTAGTGGGCTGCAGAGGAAGGGCGTGGCCTCACGATGAACTCAAACTGTGTCCCAAATCACACCCTGCACAAGACTGCAAGTGCACATCAACTGTGCCATTTGGGACAGGGCCTATGCACTATGCACTGAACCGTCTAGTGTATGAATTACAGTACATAGCTTACATCAGTCTGATAGCTCCTCCCCTCCAGCATGTAATTAAAGCTGCCACAGTTCAGCGCATGACCTGACCTCGGTTTTGGTTAATTAAGCATTAACCAAAGCATAGTCCACTTTTCCATATTGAATTTTCATCGTAAACACATATTCACACCAGCATAGAATAGTGCATAATAAGCATGTGAATAGCCAGTTACTTTAGCTGAAATTCATAATGTAACAGTTTTGATGGTCTACTCATTGTTTATGTTGCTGTCATAGCCATGCATTATTGTACATAAACACACAGCTATTGACCAATTCCTCTGGTCTATTTCACAGTGAAATCAGTATAAGTGATCGGAAGTAGCCTATAAGCTGATGTGATGTATTATTGTTCTTTGCATTGCTGCGATGTGTTTGGTTGACTCTATCTATATATATATATATGCGCATGTATAGTGCTTTGTGTGTGTGGAGCCTCCCTCGTCCCTCCCCTCACTCCTCCTCCTCCTCCTCCTCCTCCTCCTCCTCCTCATCCTCCTCCTCATCCTCCTCGCGAGCAACAGAGCGGACGCTGTTACCGACGCGCGGATAGCGATGAGCGGCGGAGACCGGGCGGAGTAGACTCAGACTCAGACCCGGACCGGACCGGACCGGACGATCAGCGGAAGATGGCGCACGAGTCCCCCGCTAAGAGCCTGGTGGACATAGACCTCGCGTCGCTGCGCGTGAGTGCGGCGGGCCCGGGCCCTTTGTCTGCTCGTGTCGTGTGGAGCTAGTCTGGCGTTATTAACCGCTGCGCTGCGCTTTGTGTGATTGCAGGACCCTGCTGGTATTTTCGAGCTGGTGGAAGTGGTCGGCAATGGCACCTACGGACAAGTGTACAAGGTCGGTGTCGTTTGAGTCTTACAGCTTTTATAATCCTCTTCCCAGCATCCTCGAGACCACTGCATTATTGTTTTAGAATAGCAGAATAGTCATGTCTGTTAAAGCTGGAGAGAGAAGGGTGTGATCTGCTGCGCATGCGCAGATGCAGTCACTGCGACAGAACGCCACATCGCTTCAGCAGCAGCAGCAGTGCTTCACTCAGACAGACAGACACGCTGCTGTAGTGCTGCTTCTGGCCTGTGCTCGCTTCTCAACATCTCTATTTAGCCTGTTGTTTTGATCTGACTGCCAAAGAGCGAGAGATGTCCACTCAGAACACGGCCGAGCAAGCCAGATAACTGTTCTAGATACTAACCGGGTTCCCGACGGGTGCTGCTGGTTACAGCTCATGACTGAAGAAAGAGAGGTGTGTTCAGCAAAGCTGCCTGCTGCTTGAGTCACTCTGGCTCACGTCTGCCAAAGCCTTTATTCAGGCCTCACTGAAGCCTGGGCGTTCCTGAGCTCAGGGAGAAACCCCTACACATGAGCGTGCTCCTCAGCAGCTCAGCAGCTCTGACTCTTGCAGCTAGATCATCTTCACTAATAATATGGCTTGTGGATCCCGCCTCAGAACTGAAAAGCTCAAGCACAGCCGTCGCTCTCCGTCATCACCATTGGCAATAAATACAAAACTAGAGCCAAGCTAAGACTGAAATAAAACATTAACAACAAACTAGATAAAACTAGGTTGGCTTGAGAAAGCCTAGCCTGAAAGTTTAAAGCAGCTGTAAAAGCCTGAAGTTTGAACATTTAGATCGATTAGATAGATGTTGATAACATGTTTCTAGCATGATTAGCAATTTACTAGCGTGTCGCTAGCAAGATTAGCAAGTGATTAGCATGTTGCTAGCATTACAAGTAAGAAACTAGCATGTCGTTGGCATGATTAACAAGTGACTAGCATTTTGCTAGCATGACTAGTAAGCTAGCATGATTAGCAAGTTGCTAGCATGTCACTAGCATGTTTAGCACATTACTAGAATGTTGCTAGCATTTTTCTAGCATGATTAACAAGTGACTAGCATATCACTAGCATGTTTCTAGCATGAAATAAAACATTAATATCAAATAAGTCGTGAATAAATGAAATAATCATAACTAAAGCACATATGAAAGCACGTATTTCTGTACAGTTCCAAATAAGGTGCATTAAAAGTCAATAAATCCTTGATTCATATTAATATTTTAATGAAGAAACATGTCTCCACACAGTATTCAGTACAATTCTAGTGCATTTAATCTATTAAATAACAGCAGAGCTTTTGGATATGGTAAGATTAAACTTATTCTAGTGAATAAAGTACTGTTTTACTAATCTTTCTGCTTCCTAACCGCTTCATGTGGCCGTAAACATGTAATTTGACCGTGTCTTTAACGCATCGTTGTAATATACCTGCACATACAACTGTCAATTTATATATTTTTATTCCTTATTTACTATGTTTTGTGGGAAGCTCTGTCCAAAAATATAGTTATTCCCATTATCTGTGGTGTAGTCGGGAAGAGATCCTGTCCTGGCATTTAGATCCCCACAGATCAACACGCTTCCCTGGGCCTGGAAGTGGTTAATTTGACTGTGGAGAGATTCAAAGATGTCCTCACTATAGTATGGGGATTCAGAAGGAGGAATATAGAGAGCGCATAAGAAAACATCTTTAGTGGTTTGGGTAAGGTGCTTGTTGATTTTGAGCCATATATGTGATTCTTCTTTTTTAATTGTTTGGATGTATTTGTCAATTTCTTGTTTGTGCCAGATAATGATGCCCCCTGAATCTCTTCCACGTGTGATTTTTTCATGTTTTCTAGAGGATAAAAATATTTCACAGTATCCTGGGGGACAAAGAGTGACTTCATCAGTTCTGCGCCATGTTTCCTGTAATATTATTATGTCCATGTCTGATATATTGTTTAAATCTGAGGTTTGGGTTTTGTTACCAAAACTAGATGAATTAATACCCAGTATGTTCCACATTGTATTAATTAGTGTTTAATTGAATGAATCAGTGTCTCTCACTCACTCTGTGTCAATCTTAAAGGGATAGTTCACCATTCATTCACTCACACACCGCTGAAGCACATCCAGCAGGATCCTGAACAATGGGCTCCTATCAGGAGCAAGCATCTGTCCTCGGACTAAACGCACTGCGTGTTTCCTTCAGTGTCCATAGTTCTTCTTTGTGAGGCGTGCGCTTCAGGTCACATGTCCAGAGCCGCTGCAGACACACGGATGGAGCTTTAGGTGGCGCTGAAACACTGGAAACTGATTATCGGATGTGTCTGACTACACACACACTGAACACATGCTTACATGTGAATATACACACTCGTCCACATTGATGCTCGTCCTGGCTTCATTAGAGACGGCTGGAGTTAAGAGACGTCAGCAGACACATCTGTGCTCCTGTCTTAGATGAAGCTCCAGTCTCTCTCCTGCGTGTTATTGGGCGGCTGCTGGACCCTGCTAATCGTAATAGAGCATGATGCTGTGGTGTGTGTGAGTCAAACACTGCTGTGTTAGCGTTTCACACACACACAGATTCATGTATGATCACATGATTCACAGCCCCTGGAGAGCCGGTGATCATGTGACCTCAGCGTGAGCGCGGATTGGCTGTGGGCTTGTAACCAGGCAGACTCTGACAGACTGTGGCATCTCATACATGAGCTGTGTTATTAGTTCTGAATCACCTCTTTCACCAGCCCAAACCAGATAGTCAGGATTAAACCAGTTTAGAGAAAAGTCTATCTATCATTAACAGGTTTGCAAATAGTATTAAAAAAGCCCACTATTAAAGCGAGAGGTTAGAGGTCCGAGGAACACATCTGAACATAGCAATCATGCTACCTGTGTCAAACACAAATGACTGTCTCTCAAAGTATTTCATTACAAATTTCATAAGATTTTTTTTCCTCCAGCAAAATACAAATGACAAAATACTCACAAGTAATTAAATACGTGTAGTAGTAATTAAGTATGTGTTAGTGTTAGATTACTCGGTCTGCATGGGCTGCTGGGAAATGACACGAGCGAACGGCATTCAATTCAATTCAAATTTTCGTATAGCGTTTTTCACAATAGCCATTGCAATGCTTTTTCACAGTGCTTTGTTTAGTCTAGAGGTCATGAATGCATGAACTAGCTTTTCTGCATCAGAAACAGGTATCACAGAATAAAGGATGTCTGCAGCTGCCAGATGCCGTCGCACACGCGTGATGCAGTCAAACTCTTCTCTGTGTGACTGAAGCTCTTCTGCTGGGATGGAGGGCCTGAAGTAAACTAGGTCAGAGACGAGGGTTTGAGGGTCTGTGCACGATGAAGAGAACTCTCCAGCATCATTCAGGCTCATTACCCCAGAACAATCTCACGAGCGGTACTGTCGTCCATCTTCAGTCTCGCGTGGTTGGGCTCCGTTTCCCAGCAGCTGCATTAGAGCGCAGGAGCACACAGATGCATTACCCTGCATGTCATGCTTCTCTGGTGACCGTGATCATCCTCTAACTGATCTGCTCTGTGCTTCTGATCAGGGTCGACATGTCAAAACCGGACAGTTGGCAGCCATCAAAGTCATGGACGTGACTGAAGTAAGTGCACACAGGTCATGCAGCGCACTGTGTTCAACTAATGAAGGAATCAAACAATATTATGAAACCGTATTAATCCATATAAACAACTGAGCTCAAATAGTGCACATCTGTACTCCTGCTGGTGCTTAATCACTGTGTGTGTGTGTGTGTGTGTTTAGGATGAAGAAGAGGAGATTAAGCTGGAGATTAACATGCTGAAGAAATACTCTCATCACAGGAACATCGCCACGTATTACGGCGCCTTCATCAAGAAGAGTCCTCCAGGACACGACGACCAGCTGTGGGTCAGTCTCACACACACACACACACACACCTCTTCATGCCTCACACTTCACACGCTGAGCCACAGCTCAACATTTCTGTTGGTGTTAATGCAGACTAGATCAGATTCTGCTCAGAAACAGCACTATTCACTGTAGAGACTGTCTCTGAGCTCCTCAGCGTCCACACTGTGTCTACTGCTGACTTTATACTATTGATGAGAAACTAGGTGTATTCAGTAGCATCCATTGACAGAAACACACCCGTGTAGACCCTGTATAACAGTGAGCTGGTGCGCGAGAGAATGGTTTTGATGATCTGTGTGCAAACATACAGGCCCATCTACTTCACAAAATCTTTTATTTATTTATTTCTAACTGACATTTCAATGTTTTCTAATATACAGTCATTAACTCCCGCCAAGTGTGGGTGATTTCAGCAGCGGGTGATCAGGCAACCTCCGGCTCTCTCTCGTGAAGCCAACACGGAAGGGACTTAAACTGCATCAACTGGCCGCTAGAGGCTGGCTGCACAAGAGAGTCAGTCCCATAGACCTCGCATGTTAAAATGCCCAACTTTACAGCAGAAAAAAACATGTTTACAGCCTGGTACAGAAAGTGCTTTTGGTCTATATAGCTAATTTTGCCCTTCGTGACAACTGTGAGGGGGTGAATTTTTTTATAACTCATCCATTTCAATTAAATTAAGCCTTAAAGTTCTGCATAATTAAGGGCGTGGCCACTTGAGTGACAGGAGGATTGCTGCTGCTGTCACCCCCGTCGAGCTAGGTGTGTGTGTGTGTGTGTGTGTGTGTGTGTGTGTGTGTTCGTTCTGCAGTTCTAAAATATTGATTTCATGTTATACACACTAATTTAGTGTGTGTGTGTGTGTGTGTGTGTGTGTGTTCGTTCTGCAGTTCTAAAATATTGATTTCATGTTATACACACTAATTGTTTTGCTTACATTTAGGCAGAACCTTAATTTTTTGAGGTGCATGAAACCACTGTTTTTTTTTAAAATAATTTATTGTGAAGTGAAATAATTAAATGACTGTGTATAACATTAAATCAGTATTTTAGAACTGCAGAATGCACACAGATATCTCCATTAATCTCAAAACAGCTCATTTGTTCCAGATTTGAATACTGTGTGGTAGGAAATGTTTATCATACATTATAATGAACTGTGGAAAACAGCAGAACTGGCTCTTTGAAATATATCATTGTTTATATGTCATGTGAAAAACCCAGCCCCACACATATACTGTGTATATATACATATATATATATATAATAAAACCTAAATGAATTTTTCGCTGTAACTAGGCTACAACGTCTTCAAAGCTGTTCTAAAATAGGAACCAAAGCGTGATTTGCTATTAGTCCTCTAGATTCAGTTTTCTATGTGTTCTGTTTTCTCACAAAAATGACTCCAGAAGCCTCAAGTAGCATATTTATAAGTCACGATATAGCAAAATCTCTAATGATAGACACTATTTCACGGTAACGATATATACCGTCATACCGCCTAGCCCTTTGTGTGTGTGTGTGTGTATTCTGCAGTTCTAAAATATTGATTTCATGTTATGCACAGTAATTGTTATGCTTACATTTAGGCAGAACCTTAATTTTTTGAGGTGCATGAAACCACTGTTTTTTTTTAAAATAATTTATTGTGAAGTGAAATAATTAAATGACTGTGTATAACATTAAATCAGTATTTTAGAACTGCAGAATGCACACAGATATCTCCATTAATCTCAAAACAGCTCATTTGTTCCAGATTTGAATACTGTGTGGTAGGAAATGTTTATCATACATTATAATGAACTGTGGAAAACAGCAGAACTGGCTCTTTGAAATATATCATTGTTTATATGTCATGTGAAAAACCCAGCCCCACACATATACTGTGTATATATACATATATATATATATAATAAAACCTAAATGAATTTTTCGCTGTAACTAGGCTACAACGTCTTCAAAGCTGTTCTAAAATAGGAACCAAAGCGTGATTTGCTATTAGTCCTCTAGATTCAGTTTTCTATGTGTTCTGTTTTCTCACAAAAATGACTCCAGAAGCCTCAAGTAGCATATTTATAAGTATATTTTTGTTTTTCTGTACTTTGACTCACTGGGTCTCTAACCTGCAATATGCACTTTAAATAAATGTTAGTATGCAGTAAACATTAGTCGTATAAAACGTACTTTCTCAGCAACAAAATTGTGGCCAGTGAAAATGCTGAGTGGCTAGTAATTTTGGAAAACCACTCGCCACAGTGGCTGCTGAGCAAACAAGTTAATGTCCAGCCCTGTATGCAGTGAATATGTGTATTATTGCAGGCAAAATGTGGTGTTTAACTGGAGTAAGGTGGTAGAGTAAGGTGCTGCCACGCTGCAGAAAGTTTGGGAAGCACTGGAGTCAGACCAGATGCACTTTAGTCTTCATTACCGAATCCAACCAAGAGCAGAAGGAAGAGCAGGACCGGACTGTCGGTGTGATGCAGTCATGCCCGAGCCCTTCAGTGTTCACACTCACAACTTCAGCAGTGCAGTAAAGAACAGGGCTTTCAGCAAACCCTGAAAACAATACAACAATTGAGAGTTAGTGAACAAGTGATCAGAAGCTGAAAAAATTGTAATTAAAGGGGTCATATGATGCTATTTTCAAAGCTCGTTATTTTGTGTATTGGGTGTAATAGAATATGTTAGCATGCTTTAATGTTCAAAAAATGCATTATTGCAGATCCTCTATGCACAGTCTTTCTAAAATGCATCGATTTCTACAAAGCCCCTCCTTCGAAAAGCGCAGTGTGCTCTCATTGGCCGACTGACCCAGTGTGCTGTGATTGGCTGAACATCTCAAGCATGTGTCAGAAATGTAACGCCCTTACCATAATCATGAGCTTTAACTTCCAAAGCAATTATAAGAGCAGTTAATAATGTGGTCAGTTTTATTCTATCCCAACATGCACTGCACTGCTTCAGCTCTACTGGAGCGTGCCGTGGGAAGCAGAACACCTGGTGAATCACGTCTGTCATTATACGCAGAGAACAGAGGATACTACATTTGTAAACCACTGACTCCTCATTGCGTCCACTTTCAGAAGGCCAAAAGTGCTTTGCTTTCACATAGAAACACACAGCGTCTCCACGGTGTGGCGGCAACAACACTACTGCCATACTGACACCACACCTTCTCTCTGCGCATCCTTTTATGGGAGACTTTGAGCTTTGTAACCTTGCCTATCTTATACATGCACAAACAACTACAAAACACACTAAAGAAGGAAAGATTGCTTTATGTGACACTGTTTGCTGAGAATCGATTGTCTTCCGTTACACGTCCTGTATCTGTGTGTGTCTGTACAGTAAAGCTGTGCGTCTGTCTTGCAGCTGGTGATGGAGTTTTGTGGAGCTGGTTCGATCACAGACCTGGTGAACATATAACCGACTGTGTTTACTTGAATACTCCACACGACGGGCATTATGACATTACTGTGTGCGTATTTGACCATTCAAGCACAAAGAAACACTAAAGAGATCAGTTTTAGCGATCGCGTGCTGTCGAGAGAGGGGCTTTCAGTGTGCGTGCATGTGTCAGTCAGCGCGAGCACCGCATTGAGTTCTTATTCACTACTTATTGCACTTAATAGCTCTACCAAGTGCGTCCCACTCTTTATTTTCTCATTCATGCATGTTTCCTTATCACTCAATAGGTGTATAACGTTTAAGCAGTACTATGTTACGCAGATATACTTGCATACCGTGGAATACACGATATAGCAAAATCTCTAATGATAGACACTATTTCACGGTAACGATATATACCGTCATACCGCCTAGCCCTTTGTGTGTGTGTGTGTGTATTCTGCAGTTCTAAAATATTGATTTCATGTTATGCACAGTAATTGTTATGCTTACATTTAGGCAGAACCTTAATTTTTTGAGGTGCATGAAACCACTGTTTTTTTTTAAAATAATTTATTGTGAAGTGAAATAATTAAATGACTGTGTATAACATTAAATCAGTATTTTAGAACTGCAGAATGCACACAGATATCTCCATTAATCTCAAAACAGCTCATTTGTTCCAGATTTGAATACTGTGTGGTAGGAAATGTTTATCATACATTATAATGAACTGTGGAAAACAGCAGAACTGGCTCTTTGAAATATATCATTGTTTATATGTCATGTGAAAAACCCAGCCCCACACATATACTGTGTATATATACATATATATATATATAATAAAACCTAAATGAATTTTTCGCTGTAACTAGGCTACAACGTCTTCAAAGCTGTTCTAAAATAGGAACCAAAGCGTGATTTGCTATTAGTCCTCTAGATTCAGTTTTCTATGTGTTCTGTTTTCTCACAAAAATGACTCCAGAAGCCTCAAGTAGCATATTTATAAGTATATTTTTGTTTTTCTGTACTTTGACTCACTGGGTCTCTAACCTGCAATATGCACTTTAAATAAATGTTAGTATGCAGTAAACATTAGTCGTATAAAACGTACTTTCTCAGCAACAAAATTGTGGCCAGTGAAAATGCTGAGTGGCTAGTAATTTTGGAAAACCACTCGCCACAGTGGCTGCTGAGCAAACAAGTGAATGTCCAGCCCTGTATGCAGTGAATATGTGTATTATTGCAGGCAAAATGTGGTGTTTAACTGGAGTAAGGTGGTAGAGTAAGGTGCTGCCACGCTGCAGAAAGTTTGGGAAGCACTGGAGTCAGACCAGATGCACTTTAGTCTTCATTACCGAATCCAACCAAGAGCAGAAGGAAGAGCAGGACCGGACTGTCGGTGTGATGCAGTCATGCCCGAGCCCTTCAGTGTTCACACTCACAACTTCAGCAGTGCAGTAAAGAACAGGGCTTTCAGCAAACCCTGAAAACAATACAACAATTGAGAGTTAGTGAACAAGTGATCAGAAGCTGAAAAAATTGTAATTAAAGGGGTCATATGATGCTATTTTCAAAGCTCGTTATTTTGTGTATTGGGTGTAATAGAATATGTTAGCATGCTTTAATGTTCAAAAAATGCATTATTGCAGATCCTCTATGCACAGTCTTTCTAAAATGCATCGATTTCTACAAAGCCCCTCCTTCGAAAAGCGCAGTGTGCTCTCATTGGCCGACTGACCCAGTGTGCTGTGATTGGCTGAACATCTCAAGCATGTGTCAGAAATGTAACGCCCTTACCATAATCATGAGCTTTAACTTCCAAAGCAATTATAAGAGCAGTTAATAATGTGGTCAGTTTTATTCTATCCCAACATGCACTGCACTGCTTCAGCTCTACTGGAGCGTGCCGTGGGAAGCAGAACACCTGGTGAATCACGTCTGTCATTATACGCAGAGAACAGAGGATACTACATTTGTAAACCACTGACTCCTCATTGCGTCCACTTTCAGAAGGCCAAAAGTGCTTTGCTTTCACATAGAAACACACAGCGTCTCCACGGTGTGGCGGCAACAACACTACTGCCATACTGACACCACACCTTCTCTCTGCGCATCCTTTTGTGGGAGACTTTGAGCTTTGTAACCTTGCCTATCTTATACATGCACAAACAACTACAAAACACACTAAAGAAGGAAAGATTGCTTTTGATTCACTGTTTGCTGAGAATCGATTGTCTTCCGTTCCACGTCCTGTATCTGTGTGTGTCTGTACAGTAAAGCTGTGCGTTTGTCTTGCAGCTGGTGATGGAGTTTTGTGGAGCTGGTTCGATCACAGACCTGGTGAAGAACACTAAAGGGAATACCCTGAAGGAAGAATGGATCGCGTACATCTCCAGAGAAATCCTCAGGGTATCAGACAAGCTCTCACACACTGATGCTGGCGCTGGTGCTGGCTCTCTCTCTCTCTCTCTCGCTCTCGCTCTCTCTCTCTCTCTCTCTCTCTCTCGCTCTCACACGCCTGTGCTTTCTCTCGGCAGGGTTTGGCCCACTTACACGCTCATCACGTCATCCACAGAGACATTAAGGGCCAAAATGTGCTTCTGACTGAAAACGCTGAGGTCAAGTTAGGTGAGCGCTTCCTGCACATCTAACACACACTGATCCTAGAGGTCTGTAGATTAATCCTTTTATTTGTGTTTCAGTTTATAGTTTGGTTTGAAAGTGTAGAGTCAAAGTGCCTGTTTGACAGAATGAGCCCACAGCACCAGCTAGCGTCCATCCAGCACTAATGCTCACAATCATGATGTCATGTCTAATATTCAGTAATTCACTTTTGCCTTAAAGGGCAGGATTGCCCGCTGGGTTTGATTATCTGAGATGATTTTTGGAGGGCAACAATCAAATGAAAACAGTGCAGCAGTACAGACTGAGCACACACTGAGCTGAGGCAAGCTCAGTAGAGTGTCATCAGTAGAGTTCATCTCTATCTGTGATCTTAATCCAGCCCGAGGATGGCGCTCTGATGTTGATCATCGCTGAAGCAGATCGATTGCTTCTCTTCCTCTTGTGGTGCTGTTTTATGGCGCAGGTCTTTGTTAAGCGCTCTGTGAGGAGTGTTTCAGGAGCTCTCTCTTGTTGCTCTGCAGTGGACTTCGGCGTCAGTGCTCAGCTGGATCGAACCGTGGGCCGCAGGAACACCTTCATCGGGACACCATACTGGATGGCTCCCGAGGTCATCGCCTGCGACGAGAACCCAGACGCCACGTACGACTACAGGGTAAGAGCTGCACAGAGTGTGTTGAGTTAGAGACGCAGTGCTGAGTGCGTGAATGTGGCGCTGACAGCGCTCCTTCTGTGTTTCAGAGTGATCTGTGGTCCTGTGGGATCACGGCGATAGAGATGGCCGAGGGCGCTCCTCGTGAGTACTGCTCTTCACACACCTTCCTTTCATTTCTTAGATTGCCTTTCTGTGCATTTCTTCCCTGTTTTGTCTCCTGACATCCAAAAGCTTCTATTCCACTATTTGAAAACTGAAAACACAAAGAAAGCTGCTCTTGTCAGGAGAACATTCAAAGCACAGTAGAAATACTGTAACGTATCATATTAGTCCGTGCCACTCTTGTGTTGAAGCTTGCATATATTAGGTATAGATATATCTGGTTTGCGTACATTCGGATATGCAGTCGGTCCTCACACGTGAACATCACCTTTAACGTCCTTGGGTTTGATTGAGTGTGTGTGTTGGTGTTTTGCAGCGTTGTGCGATATGCATCCCATGCGAGCGCTCTTTCTCATACCCAGAAATCCTCCGCCCAGACTCAAGTCCAAGAAATGGTCAGTAGCTTCATCTGGTCCTGTGTAGTTACAGTCGAGGGTGAAAGGTCATGTTCAGGACTCACTCTCCTGTCCTTCACAGGTCTAAGAAGTTCTTCAGCTTCATCGAGGGCTGTCTGGTGAAGAACTACACGCAGCGGCCGCCCACCGATCAGCTGCTGAAGCACCCCTTCATCAGAGACCAGCCCAACGAGCGGCAGGTGCGCATCCAGCTCAAAGACCACCTGGACCGCTGCCGCAAGAAGCGCGGAGAGAAAGGTACGGCCGCTCTGCTGCAGGCCGATGACACCGACAGCGCTTGTGGGTTTATGAGTCAATGACGTGCTTGTGCTCTGACCGCAGACGAGACCGAGTACGAGTACAGCGGCAGTGAGGAAGAGGAGGAGGAGGCTCAGGAGCAGGAGGGAGAGCCCAGGTAATGTGCACACCGGCCAGTATTACACTCCATATATTGTATGTCATCTGTGTTTCTTTATGAATCCGTTTGATCGAGTGAGCCTTGTTTTAAGCTTGCTTAAACACACCTGTGGCACATCGGCTGAGTTCTGTGTTTCTCTGCTCAACAGTATGCAGTTAGAGGTCATGGAATAAAGTCAGGTCCGGTCATGCTTATTTGGTGCTTCATACGTGAGAGATGTGCGCAGCTGTGTGGCATAGCTTGTCAGAGACCGTGGGTGTGACATCAGGCCTCAGAGAAGCGTTCATTAATGTAAAGCACCCAAATGGGGAATAAACAGGGAGCCAACAGTGTCCAGATAAACATGGCAGCCTGTCATCACACCTGTGCCGCAGGCCTCATTAGCATGCTAGCCAGCCTCTCCCCATATATTGCAGAGTCATGAGGACATCATGGGTCAGGAGGAGAGACGTGATGCTGACGAGGCTTCATTCATGTCTCCATTCATGTCAAATTCAAGAGTCAAGAAGCGTTTATTTGTCATCTGCACTGGGGACACTGGGGAACTGGGCATTGAAATGCTTGTGACGAGGCTCAGACGTACAGTAATTTTAACAGGACTTTAAGCAAATGTAGTGTGCATGGTGGAGGGCTTAAGTATATCAAAATGATGTGCTGTTTTGTAGGCAGGACAAATAAATACAATAAAGACAAGTAAGGGGCAGTAAACAAATATCCTGTACGCTTACTCAGAGTCCTGAGTAAGCGTACTGAGATAACAAATACAATAATTACAAAAAGTAAAAAAAGTATTGAAAGTAGTATGTAGACCTGAGTGAGAAAACTGAAGTAGAAGTCACAGTGTCCGAAGTGGCAATTATTACGTGTCAGAGGTAAAGTGCTGCAGCGCTAGATGGCTGTTAAGAAGGCTAATGGCTTGAAGATAGAAGCTGTTCCTCAGCCTGGTTGTCTGTGATCGGGTAGAACGTAGGTGTCTGCTGAACGGCATTGAAGCAGACAGATGGTGAGCAGGGTGAGTGCAGTCCATGATGATGCTGCAGGCCTTTCTCAAGCAGCATGTCTGGTAAATCTTCTGTAAGGCCAGGAGTTTATGACCAGCCAGCTCAACTGTTCTCACCACTCTCTGAAGAGCTTTGCGATCAGAAGAAGAGCAGATGCCAAACCATACAGTGATGCAGCCGGTCAGAATGCTCTCTAGAGTGCAGCGGTAGAAGTTTGACATAATGTTAGAGGAGATGCCAAACCTCTTCAGCCTCTGCTGGAAGTAGAGACGCTGACGGGCTGTTCTCACTATGCTTTCTGAGTGGAGGCTCCAGGAAAAGTTCTCAGAGATGTGTACTTGTAGCTCCTGAGTCTCTACTTCCACCCCATCGATGTGAATGGGGATGTGACTACCTCTCTGTGACCTCCTGTAGTCCACAATCATCTCCTTGGCCTTGCTGACGTTTAAAGAGAGATTACTGTCAGCACACCATTCTGAGTGTGCACTGACCTCATCTCTGTAGGATGCAGGGATGTGATTTTCCCGTATAAATACAGATTTCTGTATTTTCCAACGTCTGAGGGACGACCTATGTGATTCGCGTAGATCTCGAGTTTGTTGGTATCTTACGCACCATCGTCATCATCCTGTTTGAATTGGGCGTGGGATTGCGCATTGGGCGCACCGTCGTCATCATCCAACCCAACAATTGGCGCCTTCAGCTTTCTGCCTCAATCAGGACGACTGAAATCGCAAAATTGCATTATTTTTAAGACCAAGATTTAATGGCTTAAAACAGTACAAATGTTTTACTTGTTTATAAGTAACGCTGGAATAAAGTGTCTACTTAAATGTACTAAAACTGCAAATGCTGCATTCATAATGACTGTTATTATTGCATGCGGATTATGTGCCTATCCGAATTGAGTAATTACAGAAATAAGGGGGGGGGTTCCTTCTTTATTGTCCTTGTCCGATCACATGCCTGAGGATGTCTCATCACCATCAGTGAAGAGTCCTAGGATGGTTGTATCGTCAGCATATTTGAAGATAATGTTTGAGCCATGCTTAGCAGAGCAGTCGTAGGTAAACGGGGAGAACAAGAGAGGGCCAAGTACAGATCCCTGTGGGACACCAGTGCTGAGTGTGAGTGTGGAGGATGTGTGTCTGCCAATTCTGACCACCTGAGCTCTGCCAGTTAGCAAGTCCTAGACCCAGTTACATAAGGGACTGTTGAGTCCCCGATCCTTCAGTTTGGCTACAAGTTTGGAAGGGATGATGGTGTTGAATGCAGAGCTGTAATCAATAATCAGCATCCACACATAGGTGTCTCTTCTCTCCAGGTGTTTCAGGGCAGAGTGAATGGCCATTGCGATGGCTTCATCAGTGGATCTGTAAGCAAACTGGAAAGGGTCCAGGGTGTCAGGTAGAGAGGGGCAGATGTGCTCAAAGCACTTCATGATGACTGATGTCAGTGCTACAGGGTGGTAGTCATTCAGGCAGGAGACCGTTGTTTATTGGGAACGGGGGTGATGGTGGTCTGCTTGAAGCATGTGGGGATCACTGTCAGACTCAAAGAAAGTGTGAAGATGTTGATGAAGACATCTGCTAACTGGACAGCGCAGGTCCTTAGGATACATCTGTGGATGCCATCAGTTCATGCAGCTTTCCGAGTGTTGACTCTCTTAAAGGCCCTGCTCACTTCAGGTGTGGTTAGGGCCAGAGAGCTGGTGTCGTAGAGACTTCTCTGAACACTGTTTTTTCCTCTTCGAGGCATTGTCTGTAGGCAGGGAGCAGCAGCATGCTAATGTGGAGGGGTGTGGGAAAGCTAATGTGTTGGTAAAATTTAGGAAGAGCTTTCCTCATATTCACCCTATTAAAATCCCCAACAATGATGAAAGCAGCCTCAGGCCGGGCGATTTCAAGTCTATTATTAGTACTGTACAGTTTGCCAAAGCTTCCATTTTGTCGGCGTGAGGCAGAATGTAAACCTGTGAGGATGACTGAGCTAAATCCCCACGGGCGCACTTTAATGGAGAGCCATTCAAGATTGTGTACTGTAAAATCTGTGTCCGAGGAGTGTTAAGCATAAAGCACACACCTCCTCCTCTGCTCTTACTGCAGTTTAGTGATCAGTCATGATGAGAAACAGAGAATCCAGCTGGTGTTACAGCGTGTCTGTACCCTCGTCTCACAGCAGGCCAGCACGCAGCAGTTCTCTCTGTCCCGTTGGAATGTGATTCTGGCATTAAGCTTGTCAAATTTGTCATCCAGAGACTGTATGTTGGCTAACAAGATGGTAGGGAGAGGAGGGTTGAAGCTTCTTCAGTTATAAACCAGCTCTACAGAAGAAAACACAGCGTTGTTAGTTTCAGTTATTCATCAGCCTCATTCAGTAGTATCAAGTAGTTAATATTACTGAGCGTTAATTGTCTTTGAGCCCCCAAATAAGCAAGCTAAAGGCGACAGCGGCAGGAGACCCGAACTCCATCAGGTGACAGCAGTGGAGGAAAGAACCCCTATGAGATGAAGCTGCTTTAAATAAAAGAAAAAATAACTCAAACTCAGTGAGAGCCACATGTACTTGAATTCCACTCAGTGTGTAGAGAACCCAAATGAGCTAGATAATGATGTATTTAAGTGTGCATCAGAGGTGTGACGTGAAGAGGAACAAGCCCTGACTCATTCACACATCGTGATGCAACTCTGACCTCTCTACTGTTGCGCTCACCAGCCCATAGAGTCTGAAGAGAACGGGTTGCCAGACATCGCTAGGAAAAACGGCAAACTAAAATGTGTGCAAAATAAACATAAAAAGTACTGTAGCGAATCAGCTCATGGGGAAATATGAATAATTAACCATAACTAGTTATAATTAACTATTCATATATTAGATAATTTTATAACAAAAAGTTGTGTGTCTGATTGGTCCAAATGCTACAGTACAAATGCTGTGTATTATGAGCCACAACTGCCCAGTTTAACTCTAGGTTCATCAAAAATTACCCCATCAAGTTCGGTCAGAAATCTTGGTGTAATCTTTGATGATCAGCTGACCTCCCAGGTGCACATTGCAAAGACCGCTCGATCTTGCAGGTCTGCATTGCACAGCATCAGAAAGATCAGGCCCTTTCTAACGGAGCATGCTGCACAACTTCTTGTCCAGGCCCTTGTCATCTCTAGGCTGGACTACTGCAATGCTCTTCTGGCTGGACTTCCATCAAGCACAATCAAACCTCTACAAATGATTCAGAATGCAGCGGCACGACTGGTCTTCAACGAGCCCAAAAGGGCCCATGTTACACCTCTCTTTATCTCCTTGCACTGGCGACCGGTTGCGGCTCGCATCAAGTTCAAGACACTGATGCTCAGGCTCAGCACCTCACTTCACTCACTCTTACCAGTCTGACAAGATCACACCGCCGTTCCTCCTCTCTCATAGAGGCTTCTGTGCTGAGAAGTCAGAGGTTTGAGAAGCCTGGAAAACACTTGCCTCACAGAATAAAATCTTTGTTTTTGAGTACATTTTTATAGGGAATATGAATAGTTTTCTTGTTATGTTCAGCTCTAAGGTTTTTCTTTGATTAGAAGTTGCTGTTTGTGAGAAAGACTGTAAGAGTCACATATCTGGTTTCATTCTCTGGGATTTATTTGACTGTTTTGGGTGTATTTGTCATTATCTGTGTCTCTTGAATGTGAACAGTATGTAACTGTGTGTGTGTGTGTGTGGCAGCTCTATCGTGAACGTGCCGGGCGAGTCGACTCTGCGGCGGGACTTCATCCGTCTGCAGCAGGAGAATAAGGAGCGCTCGGAGGCCCTGAGACGCCAGCAGCTCCTCCAGGAGCAGCAGCTCCGCGAGCAGGAGGAGTACAAGCGGCAGCTGCTGGCCGAGCGACAGAAGCGCATCGAGCAGCAGAAGGAGCAGAGGAGGCGTCTGGAGGAGGTGTGGCTATGAGACTCGTCAGGAGCATGCAGAAGTGTGAACGCCTGCACGCTGCTGAGATAGGGAGCAACCGTGTAGACTGTGTAGACTGAAATGCTGTGCCAGACATCACTGCTGATCCGTGCAAGTCTCCAGTTTGTAACAGCACTGAATATGTCTAATCTGCACAAACACATCTGATCCTCCACCAACACATGCTGAACATGCCAGAGGAAAGGATAGGTCTGTCAGATCTCCGTTCGGCCCACAGGTCACATGATCATAAACTCACATACCACACAAAGCACTAAATACTTCCACCTCTCTGCCAAATTTGCAGTTTTGAAAGCAGAATCAGTCACTTCTTTGGCATGTTGTTCTTTTGTTGGTTCAAGACTAGAAGAACAGTGTGAAGTCTTTCAGGAACTGTATAGACCCTTCTGTCTTTTATGTTGAAACCGTTTTTAACATGACACAATTAGTGAGGTAAAAGAACAGGAAGTGGAGATGAAGATTGTGCATTTGTCTCGTGTCCTGCAGCAACAGAGACGCGAGCGCGAGATGAGGAGGCAGCAGGAGCGAGAGCAGAGGAGGAGAGAGCAGGAGGAGAAGAGGCGCCTGGAGGAGATGGAGAGGAGGCGCAAAGAGGAGGAGGAGCGCCGAAGGGCAGAGGAGGAGAAGAGGAGGGCTGACCGCGAGCAGGTGATTGTCAAATCAGCTTTCAGTGAAAGCCTGAATAAAGTGCCTCAGAAAGATTTCTGATCTGTGATGGATTTAGGGCTCAGTCTACTGTACGCTCATAGTGTATCTGCTAGTTTTCACATTCCCTGCCAGTCTCAACTTTCTGAAAGCCCTGCTAACTTCTCGTACACTGACGCAGATTTCACAACTCGGACCGATTCTGATTCACACACTCTCGATTCAGTTCAGTACTGACTTGTTTGTATAAATTTCAAGTACGTGCCAGTTTTTCTTAAAGGGGTCATGAGCTGAGAAATCAAAATTCCCTTGATCTTTTGACATAAGCGGTCACTGTACTGTAAAAACATCCTGTAAGTTTCAGAACTCTAGTCTAAAAACAGCTTATACTGAAGCCGATCTGCCAAAACCACCGCGTGTGGAGTGAGCCGCTCTATGATGCAGTGTGTATCTGTGTGAGCGCTCGGTGAGGAGCGAGAAAGATGTGTATTTACAACACGTAGCCAATCACAGTCATGTCTGTTGAACACAATGGCCAATCAGAGCTGTTTGAGAATGCGCTCAACATGCTCGCGGGAAATGCTGGTATCGTCACATTTTTAACATTCCAGTACCCACTGCTACCGACGTTGGTACTTTTGACAACACTAGTGCAGACTATATTGGATCTGACAGTAATGTGGCACCACACAAGTGTGAGGAACTGTTTTTATTACGTGCTCACTATTGCTTTGTCTGTTATTACAGATCATTTGATATGTACTGAGTATTTATGCATCCATCTGTGAAGGCTGTAGGCTGTCAAACACACACAACTGTTAGCCAATCATACGCATTATGTGTGATAGATGTCATTATTGAATGGAAACATGCAAACAAACGATAGATACTTGTATGATCACATGACACATTTGTGCAGTCACTGTCCATCAGCCTGAGCGGTGTGTGTTCACCTGTGTGTGTGTGTGTGACAGGAGTACATCCGCCGGCAGCTGGAGGAGGAGCAGAGGCACCTGGAGATCCTGCAGCAGCAGCTGCTTCACGAGCAGGCCATGCTACTGGTGAGAGACGAGTGCTTCACCTCATTTCACACACACAGACAGAGCTGCTTCATAAAGACACCGCATCATTATATTGAATTGCATGCCAGTCAGACTGTTGCTGAGGATCATTTCAACACTTGATGCAGGAGAAGTGACTCGGGCGCAGAGCATGTGAGCGAAGCGGAGCGGTGTAACCGCGGTGTGTATTCCGCTCACGCTCGCCGTAAACCAATTCCCGCTCAGACATAACATTTCTCTAGTAGGCCTTGTTTACTGTTTGTACCGAAGTTCTTGGATAATTGTCTAAAATTAAGCATGCTGATAAATAGCAATTATCATGTTTCAGAGCGAAATATCGTCACATTTTTAACATTCCAGCTACCGACGTTGGTACTTTTGACAACACTAGTGCAGACTATATTGGATCTGACAGTAATGTGGCACCACACAAGTGTGAGGAACTGTTTTTATTACGTGCTCACTATTGCTTTGTCTGTTATTACAGATCATTTGATATGTACTGAGTATTTATGCATCCATCTGTGAAGGCTGTAGGCTGTCAAACACACACAACTGTTAGCCAATCATACGCATTATGTGTGATAGATGTCATTATTGAATGGAAACATGCAAACAAACGATAGATACTTGTATGATCACATGACACATTTGTGCAGTCACTGTCCATCAGCCTGAGCGGTGTGTGTTCACCTGTGTGTGTGTGTGTGACAGGAGTACATCCGCCGGCAGCTGGAGGAGGAGCAGAGGCACCTGGAGATCCTGCAGCAGCAGCTGCTTCACGAGCAGGCCATGCTACTGGTGAGAGACGAGTGCTTCACCTCAGCTCACACACACAGACAGAGCTGCTTCATAAAGACACCGCATCATTATATTGAATTGCATGCCAGTCAGACTGTTGCTGAGGATCATTTCAACACTTGATGCAGGAGAAGTGACTCGGGCGCAGAGCATGTGAGCGAAGCGGAGCGGTGTAACCGCGGTGTGTATTCCGCTCACGCTCGCCGTAAACCAATTCCCGCTCAGACATAACATTTCTCTAGTAGGCCTTGTTTACTGTTTGTACCGAAGTTCTTGGATAATTGTCTAAAATTAAGCATGCTGATAAATAGCAATTATCATGTTTCAGAGCGAAATTCTTACATTCTTCTTAATTTTATTAATTGTAATGTATTAATTCAAGTTTATTTAATATATGAATCTAACCTTAGCAAACCTACCTAAAATGCAAAAACTGAAAAAGTGTACTTTATTTCCATGAAAATAGCATAGAGATGAAATGTGGATTATAAACCTGGATCATAAAGCCTGTGAAAAGCACACAGAAGGCCGGCATGAATTCCTCCTGCTGCTCACGACTCAAAAGCATTGGGCAGCTTTGGACAATTTTGCTGTTTGTCATCTCATCCCATCTCATTTATCAGCAGAACTATAATGTAGTGCCATAGTGTTGTTCACACACAGTATGGAAACACACAAATGCTGGACATTTTTAATTTGTATTTGTTATTCTTTTAATTTTGTTTGGCCATTGTTACTGTTCTTTTCTTACAGAATTTCTTCATAGTCCTTGTTTTCTGAATGATTCTTTCTGTTAAGATCATATTATAATGTTATTGTTTATTGTAAAAGAAAAAAATATATATATATTGGTAATTGCAAGTTTACCCCAGCAAAGGAAAACAGCGTTGACTTAAAGCATTGCACATGCATGGACCCAGACATTTACCTTTCTCAGTTCCAGAGATCAGGGCCTGTGACAGTGTTGGGTTCAGGCTGGAAAGACGCTTCTAGTCCCAGTCCTGTAGAGATTGGGCAGAGGAACTGCATTAGGGGTCGAAATCCCCTGCTGCCCGACCTGCTCCAGCAGAGTCAGCACTCTCCCCCCTCTTCCTCCTCTCCCAGCAGCCCTGCCCTGTCCCCCCTCAGTCCCTCGGACAGAGTCCCGTGCCTAGCGGAGGTACGTCTGCCGTGAGCCGCAGTGACGGCCTCAGCCACTGGCTCCAGTGCAGTAGAAATGCAGTGTAGTGCTTCTCTGGTGTTCTGATGGTGGGAGGTTTTAGCTGTCTGTTAATGGTTCTAACTTTTTATGCTACTAATTCTTTTGGCAAACTTCTAACTTCTTCTAACTGATTAACCAGCATCATTAACTGGTGAATAACACTTAACTGATGAGCCAGTCAAATTTGGTAACACATGCTCAAGCATTTTTTTCTCCCCAACAAGTTTTACTGGCTGAAATGAGGCTCATGTGACTGATGCATATGTCGTGCAGTAGTTTTTATTTTAACATCTCAATAAAAAAAATTATAAATAATAGTTTCTAACAAAAGCAGCCAAGACAAAAAAATAATAATAATAATAAAATAAAAAATTAATGTTAAGTTGGTAGCTTGTATGGCCAATTAACACAGAAGCAGTAGCATTTGCCAGTTTCAAGTGGTTATGACCTAACTTTTTGTATTATTCAATGAGGAAAGGGGGCGTTGAGGCGTCGTGATGAGGTAAAGGGGCGTTGAGGTGTCGTGATGAGGCAAAGGGGGCGTTGAGGCGTCGTGATGAGGTAAAGGGGCATTGAGGTAAAGGGGCGTTGAGGCGTTCGTGATGAGGTAAAGGGGCGTTGAGGCCTTGTGATGAGGTAAAGGGGCGTCGAGGCATTGTGATGAGGTAAAGCGGGAGTTGAGGCGTCGTGATGAGGTAAAGGGGGCGTTGAGGCGTCGTGATGAGGTAAAGGGGCGTTGAGGCCTCGTGATGAGGCAAAGGGGGCATTGAGGCGTCGTGATGAGGTAAAGGGGCGTTGAGGTGTTCGTGATGAGGTAAAAGGGCGTTGAGGATGAGGTAAAGCAAGCATTAAGGCATCGTGATGAGGTAAAGCAAGCATTGAGGCGTCATGATGAGGCAAAGGGGGCGTTGAGACGTGATGAGGTTAAGGGGATGTTGAGGCGTCGTGATGAGGTAAAAGGGACGTTGAGGTGTCGTGATGAGGTAAAGGGGACGTTGAGGCGTTGTGATGAGGTAAAGCGGGCGATGAGGCGTCGTGATGAGTTAAATCAAGCATTGAGGATGAGGTAAAGCAAGCATTGAGGCATCGTGATGAGGCAAAGGGGGCATTGAGGCGTCGTGATGAGGTAAAGGGGACGTTGAGGCGTTGTGATGAGGTAAAGCGGGCGATGAGGCGTCGTGATGAGTTAAATCAAGCATTGAGGATGAGGTAAAGCAAGCATTGAGGCATCGTGATGAGGTAAAGGGCTGTTGAGGCAAAGGGGGCATTGAGGCATCGTGATGAGGCAAAGGGGGCGTTGAGGCATCATGATGAGGCAAGGGGCGTTGAGGCGTCGTGATGAGGTAAAGGGGGCGTTGAGGCGTCGTGATGAGGTAAAGTGTTACAATGACGGCAGTCAGATGCAAAGATCTACCACAATGTGAGCCCAGAATGTGGAGTAAACAGGTCAGTTACATTAAACTCTAGTGAGGAGGAATTTTAGTCTGAGTTACAGTAATTATGGTTCCATGACCTATCTATGAAAAGATCAGACAATGTGATTTCTCATGGCATGAGCCCCTGAACAATGGCATAATACAAGATGAGGCAAAGGGGGCGTTGAGACGTGATGAGGTTAAGGGGATGTTGAGGCGTCGTGATGAGGTAAAAGGGACGTTGAGGTGTCGTGATGAGGTAAAGGGGACGTTGAGGCGTTGTGATGAGGTAAAGCGGGCGATGAGGCGTCGTGATGAGTTAAATCAAGCATTGAGGATGAGGTAAAGCAAGCATTGAGGCATCGTGATGAGGTAAAGGGCTGTTGAGGCAAAGGGGGCATTGAGGCATCGTGATGAGGCAAAGGGGGCGTTGAGGCATCATGATGAGGCAAGGGGCGTTGAGGCGTTGTGATGAGGTAAAGGGGGCGTTGAGGCGTCGTGATGAGGTAAAGTGTTACAATGACGGCAGTCAGATGCAAAGATCTACCACAATGTGAGCCCAGAATGTGGAGTAAACAGGTCATTTACATTAAACTCTAGTGAGGAGGAATTTTAGTCTGAGTTACAGTAATTATGGTTCCATGACCTATCTATGAAAAGATCAGACAATGTGATTTCTCATGGCATGAGCCCCTGAACAATGGCATAATACAAGGTTGTTGTTGTTGTTGTTGTTTTTTATCAAAGTGTGGTACTGGGCTTTTCTAATCACTTGTTTACAAAGACGATCATATTGACGTGGGCAGGGATCAGTGTGATACGCAGCCAGTTGATGGTTGAAAATACATGTTTTGAAGACAAGTACACAGTACACATTATCATTACATGGATTCATAGTACAAGATTTCAACCATTTATGACGATTAATTTGAAAATTGTAGATTGGAGAGTTGCATGTTTCGGACAGGGTTTAGGTGATATTTGAGGTGACATTAGCTATTTGAATAGTTAGCTACAGGTTACAATATTGTTACAAAGGCAAAGCTGGAAACTTAAGCCGTTTAGAAAGATGCCACTTATGCTTCATGCAGATCCAGTATGTTTTTATTTTCGGAAGTTGAGGTCCAGTTTGTATCAGTAAAGAATCATAGAGAAAACATAGAGGTAAAATGTATGTATCTAAAAAGTGATAATTACACATAAAAAATACCTACATTTCTTTTATTTCTGTCCGCCTTTTTTCTCTCTCCCTTTCTTGCAGATCATTTACATATTTCATGTGACAGTACAATAAAATGAATAAAACCATCAGCACTGACGAGGAACTTAGCTGTATATTTATTTATTTTAAACTATTTATGTTAATACAAAACATTCTCCTGGTTAAACCTTCTTCTCATTTTCTAATGAAGTTCAGCACTATTCTGCACTAAGTGGGATGTTTGTTCATATTATTGATTTTAAAAACTATTGTCTGATTATTTGGTTATTGGGCAGATTTTTCCAATTTTATTATCTTATTATCATTATTTTATTATTATTATTATTATTTATTAACACCTTTTTTTGTGATGTGACCCCATCGGTACAGGGTAGAGATTGAAAAACAGTGATAACACTCATTAGCTTAATTAATGATTTTTTTCTTCTTTTCTGGTTTGAAAACCAAAGTTAAAACAACATCTCAGTATATGAGGGAGGAGTATGCTCTTGAGTTTCTCTACATGACTCGTGAGAAGGAACTCTTTCTTTGCAGCGTTGTCTCTGATTACAGCAGAGAATTCAAATCTCATTTAACTTAGCCCCAGAAACCAAGAAAAGACAGTTTCTCAGGGTTTCTCCTTTAGCTTGCTTGCATCCATTTCCTCCACTTTTGTTCTTTCTTTCTTAGAATTGTAATGACCGTTGTTTCCATCAGTCAATTCATCTTTTTTCCCCACCAACCACCATCAAGTCATTCAGCATGTTTTGTCATCGGTGTGTTTAGTTGTAGCTGTTAGACTGTTAGTCTTAAGCTTTTTACAAGCATTATTACAATTAATAAACTAGAGAATGCTTATATTTTGAGTGTTATTCTGCTCTTTAACTTTGAGGTGCAACTGTTTGTTTAGGTATTTTCTCATTCTTTGCTCCTAATGTTCTCACAGACTCCCACCGTGCCGAAGCACAAGTCTTCCTCGTCTTTCACACCCTTCATTGACCCGCGTCTCCTCCAGGTCTCTCCATCCACCGGCAGCGCGCTCAATAATGCTGGTAAGTGTGATGACTGCAGTTCCCTGTGTGGCCAGCAGAGGACAGTCTCATTGCTGGAGCATCATGGTCCACTGGAAACACGGCCATCATAAGAGCCTCACGCTCACCTAACCTCTAGTTCTGCTGCTGTTGAAGAACACGACAAACAAGTTCAAATAATTTTTTGTGGTAATCAGCATTATGACACAAATGCTGTCGTTTGAACCCAAAATAACATGACAGAGATTTTGATGTTTTAATAATAATCAGGACAGGATTATCATGTCAATCATTTGACCTTTTTGTCAGATCTGATGTTCGCTCAGCCTTCTGTCGCGCAGCTGCTGAACTTCTCATCAAAACAACAGCTAGCGTTCAGACACGATAAAGCACGATATGCTTTTCTCTTGTTCTTGAGTGGAAAAATTAACATGAATGCTTTATGAATGATTTTAAACAAATATAATAATTTATATGAATTTTTTTGCTCCTTGGCAAACGAGGGATATTTTAAGTCCAGTCAAATCAAATGTCATTAAATTACATGTTTTTAAAATTATATAGTGGTTAATGTAATACACCACCATTCATTTTTTTAATGGTTTTGAAAGAAGCCTCTTCTGCTCAGCTGCATTTATTTGATCAACAATACCAAACAAACTAGTATCACAAAATTTCACTGTTATTGTCCAGCTCTAATCTGCTAAATGTGATTATAAGATATTATAAACGTAAACGTTATGATTTTTGTTTTATTGTAAAGCTGCTTGAAACGACGTGTATTGTGAAAATCTCTACATAAATAAATGTGGCCTGATTTGACTTGGTTCCTCAGGTTACAGTAATGACGCTCGACTGCAGGAGGCTCTGCGGCAGGACGCGTCTCGTAAGGGATCGGTGGTCAACGTCAATCCTGTCAACACACGGCCACAGAACGACACGCCAGAGATCCGCAAGTACAAGAAGAGGTTCAATTCAGAGATCCTGTGCGCTGCTCTCTGGGGTGAGTGATGTTAAAAACCAGAGCCCACAAAGAGCATGTCATGATTCCTGATCCAAAAGACAGAATCGAGCACCAGAGTCTGACCGTAAGGGCAGGAACAACCAATCACCAAAATCAGAGGAACCAAGGCTCTGTGATATTGATATGCCAGTGCACGTTTTAGCATTTATTTGTTACATGTGCAAAGCATTATTTTGAGGAGTTGTTCACTAGTTACCTAAGAGCTGACACTGACTCTCAAACCTGAAGTAGTGAAGTGAAACTCCAGCAGGATTTGCTCTTAGCAGTGAAAGAAGTGTGGTTCAGTCTTCAATTACAGCAGCTATGAATCCAGTACTACAGAAACACACAACGACACTACAGACTGCTTCTTCTCAAATCACAGAAATATCAGGCCTGTGTGCTGTGTATATCACAACAAGACTCTGAAACAACTTTCTATTTCGGCTCTCTGCCTTCAAACCATCCTTCATATAATCAGAATCAGAAGAGTTTTATTTCCAGGTATGTTTACACATATGAGGAATTGGTCATGGTGACAGAAGCTTGCACAGCACAGACAGAAACTTCTCACCATCCAGTCAAGTCCAGTCAAAAAAAAAACTGCATGAAAATTTTTGGGGTTTCAGAAATGCGTGACATTGCAGGAGAAAAGTAGGCTTTGAACAGTGTCATGTGAATTAACACTCAAGTTCCAGTTTACTGGAGTGTGTTGATGATGCCAGAAAAGCATGATTGAAGACCCACATTACTGCATCAGTAATGAGTAATGAGATCAGCGAGTCATCTTGAGGTGGTTTCTGGATGCTTGTGTGTGCTTTGTTGTCACTGAATCACTGCTGGCCATCAAACATAGGCAGTGTGACTTAGGTTTCAGTGATTTTGTACATGTCAGTGTGATTGGGACGTCAGAGGACTGTCTGAAGACGTGTTTCCCTGTCTTTCTGTCTTCTCTTCAGGTGTGAATCTGTTGGTTGGGACGGAGAGCGGCCTCATGCTGCTGGATCGCAGTGGTCAGGGGAAAGTCTACCCGCTCATAAGCCGCAGACGCTTCCAGCAGATGGACGTTCTGGAGGGACTCAATGTGCTTGTGACGATATCAGGTAACGCAGCCTCACTTTAACAGGCGTGATCTCTGGATAGTGAACAGCACAGAAGGCAGGGATGTTGTTTCAGTGTGTTCGTGTGACAGCAGGCATATTTCAGTGTCACTTTGCTGTTGCGTAACATCCTCTCGTGTTATTTGGTTCTCTCGAAGACAAGCACAATGTAGTTCCTGTATTTTCCTCTGTTTCTGTCTCTGTGGTCGAGTCTCAGACATGACGTGTGATGTGGAAACTGTGATCAGTTTAAAACTGAGCAATTGTGCAAATGCTGTTTGAATATTGCGCTAACACATGCTGTAGTTTATCATGTTTAGACGTGGTGAAATATTCCATTACAGACACAGACGCTTTTGAAACAGCTGCGGGATTTAAGAAACTTTCATTGCACTCTTAAGATCCAAATCAGCCTCACAAGGTGGTAAACTGGGGAAAATATTTTGTTATATACAGATCCTCATGTCAACCCTATTGGCAAATGGCATCTTAGGAGCCGCACTCCAGTGGTTTGAGTCTTACCTCTCAGATAGGTCCTTCAAGGTATCTTGGAGAGGTGAGGTGTCCAAGACGCAACATCTAACTACTGGGGTGCCTCAGGGTTCAGTACTTGGACCACTTCTCTTCTCTGTCTACATGGCATCACTAGGTTCTGTCATTCAGAAACATGGCTTTTCATATCACTGCTATGCTGATGAAGCAACTCTACCTCTCATTCCATCCTGATGATCCGACGATAGCTGCTCGCATCTCAGCATGTCTAACAGACATTTCTTGTTGGATGACGGACCATTACCTTCAACTCAACCTGGCTAAGACAGAACTGCTTATGGTTTCAACAAACCCATCACTTTATCAAAATTTCACCATCCAGTTAGGCTCATCAACCATACCTCCTTCAAAAACAGCCAGAAACCTTGGAGTTATGATTGATGATCAGCTGAATTTCTCAGACCGCATTGCTAAAACTGCCCGGTCCTGCAGATTTGCTTTATACAACATCAAGAAGATCAGGCCCTTTCTTTCAGAACATCTTCACAACTCCTTGTTCAAGCTCTTGTTCTGTCCAGGCTGGACTATAGCAATGCTCTCTTGGCAGGTCTTCCAGCCACTTCTATCAAACCTTTACAATTAATCCAAAATGCTGCTGCAAGATTATTCTTTAATGAGCCAAAAAGAACGCATGTGACACCTCTGTTCATCAATTTGCACTGGTTACCAGTAGCTGCTCGCATTAAATTCAAGGCATTAATGTTTGCCTACAAAACCACCACTGGCTCTGCACCCATTTACCTAAATTCATTACTTCAGAGTTATGTGCCTCTAGAAGCTTGTGTTCTGCAAGTGAACGGCATATTATTGTGCCATCTCAAAGAGGCACAGAATCACTTTCACAGACTTTTTCATTAACTGTTCCCTCCTGGTGGAATGACCTGCCCAACTCAATCCCAGCAGCTGAGTCCTTAACCATCTTCAAGAATTGACTAAAACACATCCGTTCCACCTTAATTCTATTCTTACTACTTGTCTTCTTTTTTTTTTTAAAAGAAAGACCCTCTGACACTAGTCCCTAGTCTTTTTCTATTTGCTTGTTTTCTTTTTATTTATTTATTTATTTTTTTAAACTTGCTACATGTACTGTGTTAAGCTAACTGAGACTTCTCACAGCACATATTATTGCCCTTTTGTTGTTCTGATTGCTTCTATTGTCCTCACTTGTAAGTTGCTTTGGATAAAAGCATCTGCTAAATGTAATGGAAATTAAATAGACAGATGAATGACAGCTTATCAGCTCTAACTAATTTATAACAGCACAGAACCGTTTAAAATGAACTGTAAAACTGCGTTCTCCCAAATACTGAAACATGAGACTGGCGTGGGAACCGCCGTCTCCTTGCAGTGGATCTCCGTGTGCCGCTGTTTGACTTCTTTACACATTTCAAAAGCCCTTCAGAGTAAATGAGCTGATACAACATACCTACATATACAGCGAGCACATTTAGCCCAGCACACAGCATTGATCTGGATGTTATGTAAGTTTGGACCAAAAGAGCAAGAGAACTGAACTATTTTTTTTGTAGGGAAGAAGAATAAATTGCGGGTGTACTATCTGTCCTGGCTGAGGAACAAGATCCTCCATAATGACCCTGAGGTGGAGAAGAAGCAGGGCTGGACCACCGTAGGAGATCTAGAGGGCTGTGTGCACTACAACGTTGGTATGTGTTCATATCTGAATGATTCTGTGCTGCTTTGTGATTTCTGCTCCTTAATCAGGCATTGATCTGATCGTCTGCATTTGTCGCACAGTACTTGCACTGACGTGTGTGGTTTGTTTCTTTGTAGTGAAGTACGAGAGGATCAAGTTCTTGGTTCTGGCCCTGAAGAATTCAGTAGAGGTGTATGCGTGGGCTCCCAAACCGTACCATAAATTCATGGCTTTCAAGGTGAATACACTAGAATGACCGTGAGTGTGAGTCGAGCGTGATGTTCTGAGCTGTGCAGGAGTCAGTCTAGTCCAGTGCTTCTCAACTGGTTTGGCCATGGGACCCACATTTTCCCATAGTCATCAAGCCATGACCCACTTTTTTATAATAAAGATAGATAGATAGATAGATAGATAGAAAAACATTTAGAATTGCATCTTTTGTTGTTGATGTGGTTTCTTTGACTGTACACTCCGCGACCCACTCTGAATGCAATATGTTTTTAAGCAATTTGAGCTATTTGTTCTATGCATTAGAAGAAGTGTAAGAACCCGTTTATATGTGTATGCAAACATTGTTCTGGTGGAAATTTTGTGTGAGAGCATGAGTGTGCAGCTTCTACACACAGTTGCTAGTGAATGTTAGCATGCTTTATTTTTAATTTGATAAAAATGGTTCATCTAGGGATTTTGGGGGGCTTCATCTTTCAGCTATGAAATCATCTGCATCGGCAGTGTCATGTAATTGTCCATGAGATTTAATTCTGTGAGTGACATTTTCCAAAGACAAGCACTCTTGGTTTCAGTGATCGTTTACGTGATGACAGAAGGACAGGTTTTCCATCAATGACTAGCAGCTGGTTTCTAGAGTAAGGGAGAGGTGTGACTGGAGTTAGTTTGATGCTCTCGGACACAAACTCCATCCATCCTAAACCTTCAAACCATTTGTGTTTCAGACGTGTTGTTCTCTCTCACCACACCTCCTATTCCTCACTCGAGCACTGAAGCTTTACATGCATTCAGTGGCTATGAACATTAGCAATGATTGCAAATGACAGAACAAAGGCCGCTTGTTAACCCTAAGAACGATAACTATGAAGTGTTTAGCCTCCAGATGACAACTTTAACAATAACAACACAGAGGGACAATATCGGTGGAATCGCTTTCAGAGCGATAAATGATAACAACATTGACAGCCAATCAGAATCCAGCTGACTTTCAAGAGCTTGAGCATTTAAAGTGGCAGATGACAGAACTAATAAACAGAACATTATCATTCGCTGGTCTGGATGCTAATGTAGTTATCGTTCTTGGTGTGGATGGGCCTTACAACTGAGATATGCTGATATTTTTTGTGATCTTGAAGATTCTCACAATGAAAGAATGACAAACCTGAGACGTTTTTTTCTTTGTGTGGTAGTCGTTCGGTGATCTGGTGCACAAGCCGCTGCTGGTTGACCTCACAGTTGAAGAAGGCCAAAGGTTAAAGGTCATCTATGGGTCCTGCTCTGGCTTTCATGCTGTGGATGTGGACTCAGGAGCCGTCTATGACATTTATCTGCCAACTCACGTATGTACTGATGGTGAAAAGCATCTAAGGTTGTCCAGCGGTGTGTTCCTGACCCTTCATCTTCCTCTCTCTTCATTGCTTTAGATTCAGACCAGTATTCAGTCGCATGCCATCATCATCCTGCCAAACACGGATGGCATTGAGCTGCTGGTGTGTTATGAAGACGAGGGCGTGTATGTCAACACCTACGGCCGCATCACCAAAGACGTGGTGCTCCAGTGGGGCGAGATGCCCACCTCCATCGGTGTGTGAAGGATGCCCCCACTGCTATTCAATCCTCATTGTGTCTTTGTTTTTAGAAAGCCAAGTAGTATTTTATTAGTCAGTAACTGTCAGTATCTTTACATGTAGTTATAGTCAAGCTGCAGTGATTTCTGCGTAGTTGAGCTACACTGTACAAGTATTATTGAATATGTGAAGTGTTGAATACACATCACGTCTCACACCAGCCGCTCTAAAGGGAAGAGTTCAGTGCTGGGAAGGACTCTAGCCCAGAACAGCCAAGCTATTAACATTGTCAAAATAGAAAAGCTCTATTTTTATTACAGCTACTGAGGGCGTGACATGTCAATTTGACATCTTTTTTGACTGTCATTTTCCATCTATCTCTCTTTTTTTTCCTTAAAAAATTGCATTTGATGTAGTCTCCCATATCCATATAGACGTTTATCCTACTACTTTAGTTTGCTTTTGAGTGCTGTTTGCTTTCAGTCACTGTATTGTGTCCTGACTGTAAGCCTGGCTTATTTATTTGATAATTCACTGAGATATTAAATGGGCAGGGCAAACGGCCAGTAATGATTTTTAGGGGTCCAAGCACCAGGTGCTGGAAAAACCTAATGTGTTTGTACTGATTTTCTTCTTTTCCTTATTGCTGCCATAAAAGATTATGGGTGTCAGAGACCATTAATTATAGAGACTCCAGACTTGGTCCCAAACGTGCACATCTACTCAGTCACAGACACACCAACCGACTATGAGACATTTTGTTGTAAGGGTTTAGCAGTGACTTTGGACTTCATTAAAATAATTTGTGAGATTTTTAAACATCTTGTGCTTGAGTTGGAGCCCCACTGATGACAGAATGATCTCAGTATCTCAGCATGATGCCACTGGCATGAAGCAGCAAGCATACAGCAGAAGGTTTGGATGGCGACACATGACTGTGCTCTCACCGAAATCCTGGCCTCTTTGCATTCCTTTTCCCAGCATTTGCCATCTCCTCAAATCTCATCCGACTCTTCATCAGCTCCCGCCTCTCAGTCACCTGATGCATGTCCTCTAACCCCCCAGCGCTTCTCTGCTGATCTCAGTGCACCCTAATGTTCACGCTTCAGCTGTTCTCTTCCCCCTGGACCATTCACATATGGCCAGGATCATCACTCTCCTCTCAGTCACGGGTGACCACTATGTGGGAAGGTCAGGGTGGCTCGTGCTCCGGTGCATTTGACCATCCTGTCTCCCGCCGTAAGGTGTCCAAAGCCTCATTCAGACTGTCAAATCTGATTGAAATCTGACCCTGTTTACATAGTCTGAACGGCAACAAACTACATGAAATCTAATTTTTGCAAATACGTTTTCAGCTACATTCATATGTGTTTTGAAATCCTTTTCAAATCGAATTTCTGGAAATGCTTTTCAGTCTGACCGCTCAGAACGGATTTTGCGTAGCTTTTTCACGTTTGCACGCCACGTAAAAAGTAAACGCATCAGAAAACATGGTGAACGTTCTTGCAGAAACAAGGTTGTGTTGTTGTGAATAGCAAGGCAAGTGGAAAATGACAATATACTGCTAGTCTACCCACCCAGTTTTGAGCGCAGCGGAGAGACGGCAGCACAGAACACTGCCTCATAAGACGTAATGTTACGGGCAGCCGTAGTGTAGATGGCATCCAGTGTGAATGATGAGGCCCAGACAGAAGCTGGATGGAATGGGCTCACGGAGGCTGTCTAAGACAGATTAGCTGTGTGAGGGGCTGTGGGAGATCTAGAAGCACTCATAGACATGACTGTGCAGCTGCATCTTCACCTGAGGGTTCACTCCTCACACTCCAGAGCCCATGACTCCTGTACAGTGAGACTGAAGAATGAAAATCACATTGTCTATACTGCACTCAACTTGGCTGTTATTGCTCAACTTCTTGGGAAAAGCCCAAACCTGTCCAGTCCAACACCGTTGACAGCTCTGTCCCGTCCTGACTGCCACACTCACACGGTGATAAACGGGGTGTCCTGCAGGGCCGAGTGGATTCTGGAGCAGCGGGAAACTTCATGGACCAATCGCAAATCCTCAACACCTCCATGGGTGTCCTTTAGAGAAAGGCGGTGTGTTTTGATAACTCCACCTTCAGGAGCAGGTGCTGTTCCATCTGATTTACTCCTTTGACTTCCCTCTGGCTCATCTGACACCACCCTCACTCTGGGTGCTCCTCTGGCATCATCCTGGAGTGGGACCCTCAATGCCAGACCACATGTCTGTTCCCCCGAAACCTCCCTTTGAGCGTCTGGAGTCCCTCCCCAGGACTCTGACCTTCAGGAGGAGTTCAGTTCCTACAGCTGCGCTATCGAGCTACTCTTCCCCATATCTTCTCAGTAGTCGTGCCTCCGCTGTCGAGTCTAAGCATGCGCACTAGTGCGTGTCAGGGACAGTGCTTCCACCGTCTCTTCTGGGGATTGATCAGGCCTCGTCTGTGCTTCCAGTGACTGTTACCTTGGTCCAAAGCAGCTCAACTGAGTCGTGAACAAAAGCAGAGATGGTCAGCACTGATGCTTATCTCCTTTTGTTTTCATCAACATCTGAGCAATTTAAAACCATTTTTCTACTCAACCTGCTTTCTGCGCAAAACTAACTTCATATTAAATATGAATGAATGTTCCCTTATGTTTTTATTTTGTACTATCTGTTTAATGAATTGCATTGATGCACTCAATCAGTCAATCGTCCCCGTCAGCAGCGAGACTGAGAGAGACGGAGTTTAGCTAGCCTAGCTGCCCATGTGTATCTGTGAGCACATTATTTCTCACCGGTGTTGTGTATCTTGCAGCGTATATCCGCTCTAACCAGATCATGGGCTGGGGAGAGAAGGCCATAGAGATCCGCTCGGTGGAAACAGGCCACCTGGATGGAGTTTTCATGCACAAAAGAGCACAGCGACTCAAGTTTCTGTGTGAGAGGAATGACAAGGTGTGTTTTTGGATCCTTTTTTAGTGTTTTTGCTGTGAAATCAGCTCACGGGCCATGCCTGTGATCCCACAAAAACCTGTCCTAAAGCAGTGCATGAAGAAAATGAAGAATATTTTTGAAATTTGAATGAGATTATTTTTGCTTTAAGAATGATGAAGATGTATTATTTCCATGTTTAACAGTAATAAGAGTCTGATGGGAAACTCTTTGCAGCAGTGAATGGTTTTGGTCAAAAATGTGCTTTGTTATAGTGCTGTCAAATCCGACTCAAAGTTTGTGTTTACATAATATATGTGACTGTGCATATTTATATGTATACTGTATGTAAACACACACACACACGTATATATTTAAGAAATATTTACGTGTGTATGTATATATATTCATATTTTTATATATGATTTATATTGTATGTAAATATAAATATATGACATTTATTTCTCGTGAGTGATCTGTGAGTAGTTAGCTGTGGTTTTAACAGGTCAGTGTTGGCTTGTTTCCCGCAGGTCTTCTTTGCGTCTGTGCGTTCTGGAGGCTCGAGTCAGGTGTACTTCATGACGCTGGGCCGCACCTCCCTGCTCAGCTGGTAAAGCAGGAGTCTGAGCTGCTGATGGAGTTTCTCGAAGCGCTGCGCTGAGGCCAGGCCACACGAACGGCCCGAGCCCGCTGGAGGACTGAAACCGGCAAACACACTAACTGAGCCTGCTGCGTGAGGAACGGCTCGAGTATCTCCAGTATTATTGCTAGTCTGTGTAAATGTCTTTCTCTAGAGTTTAACACAATCTGACTCCGCTGAGAGGAGCGCTGACATCCTGCTGTGTCACAAATAGTGGTCTGACAATAGTGAAACACAAAATGGCTTTGTTTTGTCATGTTTTTTTATTTTTATTTATGGCTTGTATTTATTTCTAGCTTGTTTTTTTATTATTACTTGTTTTTACTAAGCAGAGTAGTTCCAGTAATGTGGAGGATTGCTGAGAGCTTGAAACATTTCCTGATAGTGTTCCCAATGTGCTCTGAACAGAGCGTCTTATGAAGTCAGTTAATGGTCATGTGCCGTCACCCGGAAGTCTTATCCTCTTTCTCTTCTGTCATGTGTCCGATGAGTTCAACAAGCATCCCCGCTGGCCTTGAGACGTGTCCTGTCCTAAAGTTTTGAAGAGCATGTTTTTTAGAATCCACGAGTGAAAGCTTGTTCTGGCATTTCATGCGTTGGAGCCGGAACACTGAAACTGAACTGTCCACTCAACATCCAGAGCAGAAACGCGGCTATAAACCTGACATTGGATTCGTTTTGGACGTTTTTCTGTGCTCTTGACAAGTGAATTGTTTTGGAGATGCGTGAATGCAGAGCATCACAAACAGAGTCGAGGTTCCTGTGAAGATCTCTGTCAGGGAAACACTACCTTCAGTCGGATGTGAAAGACTTGGTCATGGATTATGATTATTATGATTTGAAACTAAACTGTGTATATTTAATGAAAGGCAGGACTGAGGAATGACGCGACTGAACCAAATGAAAGGGATGAGCGCTCGCCACACAGCGCTTCTTCTGTTCTGTCTTCTCTTCCTGTTTTTATAGTTTACACACACACACACGCGCATACATGCACGCATGCACACACAGACGCACACACACTCACACACACGCGCGCGCACACACATACACACACTCATACACACACACATACATGCACTCACTCTCACACACACACACTCACTCACACATGTTTTTATGCATTGTTATACCAAGGTCTGGATGTCATAGCTCTTCCAGTGGGATATTAATTCTCTGGTGTTGTTTGGTCATTTTTGATTGAATTTTGTTTCATTTTTTTATTTTGTACTTCTTTGAGATGGTACGAAACTTGGTAAAAGTTTTTGCGCTTGCCATGTACTCACACACGCACACTCACTCACACACGCACTCACTCACACACACACTCGCTCACTCACTCACACACACACACGCTCTCCCTCCCACACACACACGCACTCACTCTCACACACACACTCACTCTCACACACACACACACACACACACATGCACGCGCACACACAGACACTCACACACACACACACACATGCACACACAGACTATTGCACACTCACACACGCGCGCACACACATACACACTCATGCACACACACACGCACACATACATGCACGCACGCATGCACACACAGACGCACTCACTTACATACACACTCATACACACACGCACACACATACATGCACGCATGCACACAGACGCTCACACACACACACACTCACTCTCTCACACACACACAAACACACACACACTCTCTCACACACTCACTCTCTCACACACTCTCTCACACACACACACACTCACACACACACTCACTCTCTCACACACACACACTCTCTCACACACTCACTCTCTCTCTCTCACACACTCACTCTCTCACACACACACTCTCACTCTCTCACACACTCTCTCACACACACACACACACACACTCTCTCACACACTCTCTCACACACACTCTCTCACACACACTCACACACACTCTGCTGCTGATTGGAGTGAATGTGTTGTGGTTACTGGAGGTATTTTCTCTGTTTAGTTCATCTCTCCCCACACACACTATATATTTATATGTTCTATAAGTTCTATATTTGTTACTTGTGTTATTTAGCATTAGATCATTTTAAGATTTCAGCGAAGCTGTTGAGCTTTCAGTGAGATTTGTCATAAGAAGAAGGTGATTGGTGCCAGTGGCAGACACTGAAAGTGAAGCGTACGTGTTTAGAAACAGCCACGAAATGAGAACTGCTTTGGCGCTTTCTTTAAGCTTTAACTTTGAGAGTTTCTCAGTCCTTCACAGTTCAACACAGCTAGCCATTGTGATGTTTCAGTTCTTGCCCTGATCTAGTGACCTGAGAAAAAAAGAAAAAAGGTTTAAACAAGCAAAGTTTTGTGAATCTAATGCTCATTGTTGTTTTGTTTATTTGTTATTTCAGCCATAATTCTTGATTAATGGGTGGTAATAATGCAGCGGGTGTTTCCTCAGCACTGCTTTGACTCTGAAGCTGTTCTTCTGTTTTCAGTCGTGGCACTGTATCGTTCGTCCTCACTCTATATGACAGGAAGTCCTGTATTTTCCTGATGGTCCTTTGTTTTTCTTTGAAAATAAATTGGGTTTACTTTAAGGAGGGATGCGGGTGTTATTTTCCCTGTGTGTAAAGGGATGGTGCAGATGATGTTTCTTCACTCCGCTGTCGTTCCAGTGCATTTCTGCTGTTTGGGAAGGTTTCTGCAGATCGGTCTCAGTGCATGAAGATGAGATGCTCTGCTGCTGGACACACCACATACTCGTGACTGAACTTCTCCGATGTACAGATCTCAGAAATCTCCTGGAGAATGAACACGCGTCAGCTTCATTCACAGCATTCTGAAACAAGTCTTACAGTGAATCTCGTGATGTTATTGAATCATTTCCCTCACGAGTTGCTCATTTTTACATTTACTGGACACTTATCCCAAGTCCTGCAGCAGCAAAAGTGATTCCTGACCCGCACTGCGGGAAACTAGGAGTTTCTAGAGACTGGCTTTCACTTATGCCATGCATTCTGCATATGCTACGTTCTAACTCTTTCCCTGACACTGTTTTTTAGAACAGTTTTTCTAGCTTCTTTTTCTTTTTTAAATCAACACTTGAATGGGTGAGTTTCATTTAAAAAAGCTGAGAAAATCACATTTTTGTAAGACTGTCTGGATCAGATTCAGATCGATGATCAAAACAGATTAAATCAATCGCTTCCATCAAGATGTTTGATGATCGTGGTATTTAATTTTACATATTCATTTGCTTACATACGGGATCGCTTGTTTCTGCTTCTTCACTGTGTTTGAGCCAGATGTTCAACACTCTTTCAGAAGATGGTTTGTGTGTAGATCACACACACTCACACACACACTCACTCAAACACACTCACTCAAACACGCACACACTCACTCACTCACGCACACACACACACTCACTCAAACACACTCACTCACTCACGCACACACACACACACTCACTCAAACACACAC